GGCCCAAGCCTGGTGTATGGAGAACAGAGACAACAATGAAAGCAGTTTGCTTCATGAACCTGCTCTTATTTCTCAATTTCAGATGTATGAAGCTATTATATTTCATCATGTCACACATTCTAATTTCTGGTTTTCTCTTTGGTAGAAGCTTCTTGCGTTTTACTGCTTACTTTGTTTAAATTTTGAAGTTTTTCCTCTTTTCTGTTTCTTTTTTTTTTTTTGTGTGTGTCCCGTTTGGATCTTTAGCCATCAGAATTGTTGTCTTAAGGCCAAGAAAGATGCTAAGCGGATTTATTTTACCAAGTGGATCATCATGGCCTTGCCATATTGGTCCATTTGATTGACCTTTATTATAATTTTGAATTTATTTTATTTTCGTTTGCTACAAACGGGACAGACATGACTGGGGGATAGGACAGGGAGAAAGAATGAAAGAAAGAGAGGGAGAGAAAGAAAACCAAAGGGGAGAAGAGACGGTGAGAAAGGGGGGAAGAAAGAAAAACAAACAAAACACCTGGATCACCTGTATGGAGAAAAAAAACAGAAGAGAAAGCAAAGAGCAACATAATAAAAAAACCCCAGCACCATCACAATAAACTAGCTAGCAGTAGATAACAGTAGAAACGAAATAATAAACGATATTGTGCAGCACGCAAGATAGACAGCGCACAATGTGCTTTGAGGCAGCAGCCAAGAAAGCTGCAATCCGCGTCTGTGAACACCCCCATGTGTACACCTGTGTGCACACCTGTGTGGATCAGCATGCTTGTATTCCAAAGGTTTCTCCATGTAACGATCTGCTAGGGAGTGTGGGGAGCCACAGCCCCGTCCACCAGGGTGTGAAGCAGGTATGGAGGAGATCCAGGCCCCAGATATCCAGAGGCCCCAGAGTACAAGAACCCGAGGAGGACCACCAAAAGGGGGGGAACGGTGCCACCCTCCTGGGAAGAGCTGAGTAGAGCCCCAAACGAGAGGTCAACCCGCAGCTACGGAGCAGAGGCCAGAGGGGGTTGCAGTGGCGTGCCCGTGGGCTCTGCCAGCAGCCAGCTGTGCCAGAGAGGACCGAGCTTCAGGCCCAGAGGCCAGAGGCCTGAGGGCATCCCACCCCCCGGAAGGAGCCCAGCCAGGCCACAGGCGCCCGGCCCGCCAATCGGCCACCAGGAGTGAGCCGGTACATACATGAGCGCCCAGCCCCAGACGACAAGGACCACCTACACACCAACGTCTGAGGGCATCAGCCACCAGCAGGGAGTGTGGTGAGGGGAGATAGGCCTCCGTACTTTAGAGGGCCTGAGATGTACCCAGAGAGGTTGAGTCTAAGACCCAACCTGGCATATAGACACAGACGAACAGGCACACGCGGACACAGACGTGCATTCCCACCCCATATGCACAACCAAATACTCGGCACTCACCCAACGTGTAGACAGACACAAATAGACACTGCACAGACAGTCACACTCCCCAAACATACTCTATATCCCAGGTCCAGGTACCCCCGCCCTCAGAGGGGCAAGCCACACCTAGACCCAGGAAATGTAACCCTTCTCTCTGGGGTGGAGGCAAGCGGACCACCTCCTTATCTGCAGTAGCAGGGAGGCCCCGCATCCCAGACCCCAGTCTGACGGCCAGCACCTCCTCCCAGCACCCCAGCCCTGACGGCTAACAGAACCGGGGTGAGTGAAGACCTCAAACATCCCTACGCCCGCTCATATGTAGTGTTGCTGTGTGCTGTTCTAAAGTGCATTTAAAACTCAGGAGAGCAGGGTACTTGCTTCCTCTCAGAGAGCAGCACAGCTCCTCCCGAAAACCCTTAGTGTCTAAATGCATTTAAAATTGAGGGTAGGGCACCAGCGCCAGAGGTGGGTTGGAATACACCGATCATCCTCTGGATGCTGTAAAACGTGCCCACCCCCAAGGCCCTATATGTATGTGTTATGTGAGAGTGTGAGTAATGTGGATGTCTAGGTTGCAGAATAAAATTGAGGCACAGGCGGCCAGAAGGGGACGGAGGAGGAGTGCCTCCCCTGCACCCTGGTGACATACCTGCACCCCAAGCCCTGCGTGTGTGGGTGGGTGTGGTAGAGCGATTGTTCAGTCTGACGTCACTAGCCGTGTCAGGGTCTAAACTCCGCTGCAGGTCCATATATCAAACGATCACTATGGCATTACTGAGAGTTGAAAAACTGTCTAAAGTCTTTCATCTTTAATAAAATGATCAGCGTTCTGCTCTACCAGGTGTAACAATTGAGTTTAACATCCAGGATAGGGAGGCAGCTGAGGATGGGGAGGGAAGAAAGGGAGGGGCAAGCAGCGCCTCCCTGGGGCCAGCTCCCCTGCTGACCCCAGTAGGCACCCCCACACTCTTTTTCTGTTTCTTCCTGGAGTCTAAAAGTCTGTTTGACCCTAAATGAGCCCAAAACAAGCTGACAACAACTTGTGTCTGAGCTCAGAGAGGAAGAAGTGTTGAACATTATTAGGTCCATCAAACACGAGTGCTCAGAAAATCAAAAACACGAAGGAGGGAGAAAGGACAACATCCAAAACGTGCAGCAAATTTTCTCATCAAATCAAAAGCAAGCTATGGAAAAACTAAAAATAGAAAGCAGGAGGAGAAAATGAGGGCTTTTCACACATTTGCGCTTAAAGTTTCCAGAGTATCGACTATGGAAATAAACATGTTCATCAAGGACAAACTGCTCGGGGATTTGGATCCTGTGATGTTTAAGAGTCCAGCAGACATCAGTCATTCCTGACAGCTGAAAGTTCAAAAACAAAATGCTTAGAGGCTTCCTGCTGAAACACCACTACACCCTTAGCATTACACAACACCCCCCCCCCCCCCCCCCCCCCCCACACACACACACACACACACACACACACTCCCCCAACACCACTCCCCCTGCCAGTGGCAGACGCCCTCAGACATTGGTGCGTTCGTGGTTCTTGGTGTCCGGGGATGGGCGTCCAGGTACGCACCGGCTCACTCCTGGTGGCTGCTTGTCGGGGCCTGGAGCCTGGGGCTCGCTCGGGCCCCTTTGGGGGGTGGGGTGCCCCCGGCCTCTTGGCCTGGAGCTCGGTCACTCTGGCACAGCTGGCTGCCGGCGGAGCTCACAGGCACGTCACTGCAACCCCTGCTCTGCGGCTGCTGTGACCCCTCATCTGGGGCTCTCCTCAGCTCTTTCCGGGAGAGTGGCACGGTTGCCCCTCCGTTGGTCTTCCTTGGTCTCTTGTGCTCTGAGGGTCTCTGGATGTCTGGAGCCTGGATCTCCTCCATCTCTTCATGCCCTGGAGGACGGCGCTATGGCTCCCCACACCCTCTAGCAGATCATTACATGAAGGAACCTTTTGAATACAAGCGCGCTCATGCTCACAGGTGTACACACGGGTGCTCACACACACAAACTACACCCTTTTTGGCTCCTACCTCAAAGCACACTGTGTGCTGTCGATCTTACGTGCTGCACAATAATATCCAATATTTAGTATTTACTGTTATATTCACATAGATTATCATGATGATGTTGTTTATTATATTGCTCTCTTTTTTGCTTGTTTTCTCTTTTTTCTTTCTCAACAGGTGATCGATATATATTTATGTATTTTTTGTCTGTTTGTTTTGTTTGTTTTTTGCCCTTTATCACCGTTCCTCTTCCCCACTGTTTTTCTTTCCCTACCTCTTTCTTTCTCCCTTTTCTTTCCTCCAGTCATGTCTGTCCCGTGTGTAACAAGTGAAAATAAAATAAAATAAACAATAAAAACAAAGTTCAATCAAATGGACCAATATGGCAAGGCCGGGATGGTCCTTTTGGTAAAGTTAATCCGTTGGGCATCTTTCTTCGCCTGGCAAAAGAACCAAATGGGACAGGCGGGAAAAAACAACAACAACAAGTCCTTAAACATTCCTTCTGTCAGAAGCTGATGAAAAAATACAAAAATATTTTCCCTTTTGTTCCTTTATCTGTTTGTCATCAGTCTCCCTGAGTGTCTGAATTTAGTATGTCAGATGATGAAGAAAGAGATCTATCAGCAGCCTCATCATTCTCTGCACTAAGACTGTTAGCTGAAAGTACTGTATGCAAAAGTCTTGAGTCACCCCTCACTCCTTTATATTTTTCTTGGAAAATGGGAAATAGGTGCACTGATTTATTGAAACATGTATTCACAGAAATACAGTATGTCAGGCAAAAAGTTTGTATAGTTCTAAAGAACTTGAAAATCAAGATTTTCAGACGCTTTCCAGATAGGATTGTATGGTGGATCAAAATTTGATGACATTCATAATTGCAAACAAGATCTCCAACACCACTGGTTGAAATGGAGCTCCGAGCTATGGCAGAGCCTCCGCTGTGTTGTAAACTGATTTTCAGCCCAGTTCTTGTTTAAGTTTGGCATTTTTCAGAGATTCAAATAAAGATATTTTCCATATACTGAAAGTAAAATAAGAACGTTTCAACAAAAAAACAACAAAATATTTAAAAATGTAACATAAAATGTATGCTAGTAGTAGTAGTAGTATATATAAGGATCAAAGAACTATTTACACAAAGAAATTTTAAGAATGAAAACAGAGAAAGAAAGAGTAAAAGAGAAAGCATCACATTTAAAACCAGGAGAAACAAATAGACAATGAACCTGAAATCTTATTGTTGTTATAGCTTTTATTCACCTTCACCTCTGCTGTCAGTAAGTTGTTGTGATAATGAGTTTGACTGACACCTTCTGTATTTGCTCACCTCGGTTACATTCCTCCATCTGACAGCAGTCAAGGGGTTATTACAAGAAACCTTCTTGTAAATGAAAACAACTGGAACATCCAGACTTTGTGTCAGACTGTCAGTCACTGTTAACACTTATGTTTATCAGCATTTAGTAAGTGTAAGTTGAAGCATAACATATTTAATTTACAGTTTACATTCTTTACCACAGAAATTTTGAAAACATTAGTGGTATATTTCATCTGTTCTCATTAGAAGGAAAAAAAAAACCTGTGAGACAAATGATTTTGTAAAAAAAATCCTTTTATTTTAGAAAAATGTGACTGTGCTAGCTCACAATTACACATCATGTCTGAATAGTTTTTTCTCTTCACGCTATTATTGGGTGAAAAATTATGGCTTGTTAGGGTTATTTTAAATCAGTGGAAAAAATAAATAATATAAAGAAACTTTCAGAGTGGCCAGACAGATTTAATAATTGGATAGAAAGAAAGAAAATATTAAGGTATATAATATCCTTATTTATAGTAAAAGTTTATATAAAAGTGGGAAATTTATGGAAAAACACTAAAACAAACTCGGAGTAGGATGATTTTTTTTTTTATCAGAAATTTACATTTTACATTTAGAACACTCAGGTTTGGTCAGAATATTGCCCTCCTGTGCTGGCTGTACATACCACATAGAAAACACAATACAAAACAAAACATGGAGGAAAACAGAAAGCCCGAGACCTGCATGCAAAACAATAGAACATGATCCATCAACTTTGCTTTAAAGAAGAATTTTGGGGTTGAGAAGCCATTTGAGTCACGACTGACATTTTGAAACAGTTGTTTTGGATTCAAGCATTCTAAAGTGACAAACATACACCAAGCTTAAACATATATGAAAACAAGTATCAGTGGTTGTACTATCAACTACAGTTAGTACAAATCATTTAGTTCATAGCAACAAACAGAAAATTCAAGTACTTAAAAAGAGAAAACAAAGACAGATTTTAAGAGGCTGTTTTGCAGATGAGAACTTCTATTCTCTTTATTTCATCAGTCATAATAATTTGTCTCTCTGTTAGCACCTGGTTCATAAAACGGGAAGTCGTGAATTTTTTATAAATGATTGCTTTCATGTAAGTTAACATCTTGTGCAAACATAACAGCAAATGAATGAAATTTTCAAAACTTTCTCAGTGTAATTTACATAATATTATAATACCTCGTCAAAACCATAACTTCTTGGGGAAAGCTAGTAACTTGTCAGTACAAAAAATACCTGATTTGACCACCAACACCTTCTCAGAACAAGTCAGTCACCTGTCTGAATAACACAGTAACTTGTAACCTGTAAAATAATGTTTTACTTTGGCAGAACAATAATAGTTACTTGAAACACGATAGGAATTTGTTCAAGCAAGATAGTAAGATACTGCCTTAAGAAAACAAAAAGTACTATATTTATCAGAAACATAACACCTTGGTAGAAAACAATGTGTTGAAATAAGATAGTAACTTGTGCAAATACAATAATAAGAATATTAATTTCTTGAGAAAAGGAGAGGAATTTACAGTCATGAGAAGAAGAAAGTTTTCACAGAAGTGTAGTTTTGTGAAAAACCAAGTGAACCCAATGATTTACTGGCTTCTAGAGGGGGATTCTACAAGATGTATGGATGGAACTTAAAGTAATCGGTTACTGTTTGACATTATCATGTCCCATCATTGTGTAAGAATTTTGGCCCACTCCTTTTCTTTGATGGTGCTTCAGCTCATTGAGTTTTGCACAGCTCTCTTAAAGCCCCACAACAGGATTTCAAACAGGTTGAGGTATGGACTTTGCCTGGATCATTGCAACACCTTCAGTATTTTCTTTTTCAGCCATTCTGTTGGAGATTTGCTGTGTTTGAGATCATTGTCTTGCTGCATGATCCAACTTAAGTGCTGGACAGATGATTTGACTTTAGAATACTTTGGCAGGCAGACAAGTTCATGGTCACCTCAATGACTGCAAGGCCCCCATGTCAAGTGTCTGCAAAACAAGCCCAAATCAACACCCTTCCACCACTGTGTTGACGGCTGGTATGAGGTGTTTGTGCTGAGGTGCTATGATTGGTTTTCTCCAAACATGATGCAGTGCATAATGGGTAAAAATCTCCACTTTGGTCTTGTCTGTCCAAAGGACATTGTTCCAGGAGTCTTGTTGTTTGATCAGATGCAACTTTCCAAACCTAAGCTATGCTGCCATAATCTTTTTAGAGAAAAGAGTCTTTCTTCTTTCTAAAAAGATTTGCTGAGATGTCCACTCCTCTAAAGATTGTAACATTGTGTTAACATACATCTGAATGCCCAAGACAAGTAAAATGCCCAAACTTTTGCTTTTGAAGAGGTCACACTCACTAAGGATCACTGACTAAAATGCATTTAATTAGCAGCACCTGTCTGCTACTTACCCTCAAGAATAGATAGTCTGGAAGAAGACAGTACCTGCAGTGACTTATGACTTGTCAGAACATGACGGTGCCTTCTCTGAAGAAGAGAATAACTTTTTGGAGAATGATAACTTTCTTGAACTTCACAAAGATATACAACACAATGACAGGCTATGCATGTTCAATACATCAGTTAATGTTCCAGCAAGCACTGACTAACAAATGTAAACATTCCCATTTGCAAAGTGACTGATTGGGTGAACATGAAGCAGAAGGAAAAAAAAAAGGAATTTTGCTGATTCAAGCATGGTTTTATAGTGATGTATATATTTAAAACAAGGGCTCTGAGATTCTACACATCATATCCCAGAAAAAGCTACCAGAGCAGCAAAGGCACTGATGGGGATGAGCGTTGCAAGTCACAGCTGTCCGAAAAACCACGTCAGAAAAACAGAAATTAATACCAAAAGACATATATTAAAATAATGTTACTGGTGCAAAAATTAAAAACTATACTTCAGACGCGCTTCTTTAATATGACAGCAGTGACAGGCAAGTTGGGATATTATCAGAAACCCTTGAATTTAAGCTAAGGTGAAAGCGTAAGACAGAGGTATGCAGCTGTGAAACTGTTGAGAGGTTAAAAAGCAGTTACTGAAGTCTTTGTACAGAATAAATAAGCAACACAGTGAATACAGGAAAAGTTGAAGTTTCAAGGTAAGAGAAGAGGCAACCTCAAGGATCCCAAGTTCATTTCAAGGTCCCTCAGAAGTAAAACACTGTTCTTAGAAAATAAACTCCAAGATTGTTGAACATTTGGTCACCTTCATCTCTACTCCCTTCCTCAACACACAGACGAAGGCAGGTTTCTGTAGAGAAATTAGGACATTTATGCAGGTCAATGAAACGTTTTTCATCACATAAACAACTAAACTAAGCTTTTATTGTGCAGGAATGTCAGCAAATCTAAGAAGAAAATCTGAGGAGTTAAACAATTCCCAAGCTGAGATGTTTGCAGTGATGCTAATCCCTTTCAGCCACTCTAGATAAAGTCTTACTCTTAAGGAAATACATGGTGAGAATTGTTCTCTACATTTCCATCAAATACTCATTCTTTGGTCAAGACTGGGAGGTCAGGAGATACTTTTGGTTCTATGTATAGTTAGACTCTGAGACAACTTTTGCTGTTTTAGCTATTTACAAAAGAATGTTAAAGTTCTTGTAAGAGTTCACTTTTTGAGGGGTTTAATAGAAATAAAGCAAGAACCATTGAAGAATTAAATGTATTTGTATACATAGTCGACTGTTTTCAGACACTCAAATGCAGCTGAGCAAAACAATGAAAAGCTGGACAAAATTCATAATGTGTGTTCTTCTTCATTTAAGCAGATTGAAGATGTGGAGATGGTTCCAAGTGAGGAATTTGGAAGCTGCATCTGTGCAGCAAAACAGTATGTCCTCAGACTGCAAGTAAAATAAATCCATCAGAGAAAACAGTGGGAACATTGGGCAAGCATGAATCACAAATGTGTTCATTCAGAGAACAAAACAACACACTGGTAAGTTCACCAACATTAAAACCTGGACCTTCACAAAAGACAACAGAGGGTGATGAGTCCATCTCCATGGAAAATCCCTTCACAAGATCCAGGCAACCAGGAAGTAGGTACATGAATACAGAAAAATCACTTAATATAAAAAGATGAGTTCACAGGGAAAATCCAGAGGATTCCTGTATCGACAGAAGCATAGAGCTCAGGAACAGCGTTCTTTGGAAAAATGAATCAGAGATTAACCTCTAGCAGGAAAAGCTGGAGGTAACTTGGAACAAATCATGACCTGAAAGGCACAACACGAGCTGGAACACATTACAGTTGGAAAGCATAGATATTAATGGCTTCAAGTGGCGCTGCCGTTTAATGTTGATATGTTACAAGGCAGAAGAAAAAATATGTTATCTGTTCACATTAATCCAAATGTAGGGAAACAGTAGAATATTGAACAATTAGACCTGAACCCATTGGAGCTAAATTTCACTGTTGAAGACAAAACCAAAGCCAAAAAGAGCCGTGAATAAACAAAAAGTGAAGCAAAGAGGATATAACTTGTTTAGTCAATGAGTTCATTGTCCGCAAAGGATTTTCCAGAAAGGGTTACAAATCAACAATGTAGCCTTAGTTTTATTTGAGACCCTGAAAATAAAGGATGGTTTATGCACTGTTATTGTTAAACTGTTCAACTTAAAGTCTGAACTTTGAGTCTATATTAAATGGTAAATGGCCTGCATTTGTATAGCGCTTTTCTAGTCCATAGGACCCCAAAGCGCTTTACACTACATTCAGTCATTCACCCATTCACACACACATTCACACACTATATTAATCTTCATATTCATCATATAATCATCATATAACTTTAATATGTTCTGGGACAAAACTGAAATAACAAATTACATATTTCCCTAAGACATGGTCATCTTCATAGACACATCAAGAAATGTAGAAGTAACATTTATTTCAGCTGTACATGACCTGTACAGATGAAATCAGCTTAGCCAACATTTTCCTAGTGGCCCAATATTTTTCAGACTTTCCAAAACCAACGATTTGACTTTATTCCACTTTTGCTTTCAGACATTTTCACAGTTTGCCTGTTTTGTTACAAATCAGTAAACAAATTGGAAACAGCGGCAGCAGCCCAGGGTTGGAAATCAAAACCAAGTCCTAGAAATCTACAAACCTTTATTAAAAATGTAAAAGAAAAAAAGCAAAAGATTTATGTGTCATGAGAGGAGGAAAATTAGAACAATGCTCCTGGCTCGGTCTGGCTATATTGTCTGAATATAAGCCAAGATCAACCAAATATCAGGACAACAGGAAGGAATCGCACATGGTGTAGATTTGTCTGTGGTTCAAAAATTGTATTTACAGTTAAATGCAGACACTGAGGTGTAACTATCAGTAGGCATAATGGAACTGTGACCGCGCTCTTCATCCTCAGAAATGATCTAACTTTGCCATGTATTTTACCTTAGAGAATGGGGATATGTTTCAGATAATTACTATCTCTGCTGTCCTGTAGCTTTAACTCTGTCACATTTTCCAGTGTACTGTAAATAAATTTCAGTGGGTGGGTTTGTTGGTACCTGGTCAGAGGCTGCTGGATGGTTATGTGCTGGAGCTCCCTCTCCTCTCCAGGAATCTGGTCCACCAAATAAGAGAAAATTGGATTAGTTTGCTGGTTTTGGCTGCTGACTGATGAGGTCCAAACAGGCGACTTCCAAACCACCAAAAAAAAACCCCAAATTAAACCGAAACATAAACAGGCGAGCAGAGAGAGGAAGGAAGATTATTGTTTGTATGTTTCTGCACATCTGAGGTCAGAGATAGTTTAAAGCCACCCGCCAGACCATTCCTGCTATTTTTAAATGTTTCCAATGTTTTTCCTCAACTCAACTCTCATCATGATTAGGCTGAGTTTAAAGCAGTTTGTTTGGTCTGAAGCTTCTGCACAGGCCGTTAGTGTAACCGCTGAGGAAGTTTCACTGGGTTTTATTTCCCTGGAGTACAAAAGATATTTTTCATACACTTCACGATGAGAGTTTAAAATCATCAACTTAACCACAAAAACCTACAGAGTAAACTCATTACCAGTGGCATGGAGTTTGGATATGATTTGTTTGAGTTTGGCTTTCATTCATTGTATTTTTCATTTTAACATTTATGTACAAAGCATTTCTAAGTTATATTGAAACATTCAGTTTTTTTCCGGTTGCACACTCGTTTTAGCAATTCAGAAATCATTAAATTCCTCGCTCCATGTTAGTCATAGTAGGATTAATCAGAAAATGCAGCTAACATGAAGATTATTTCTTTAGCTCTTTTTAAATTGGATGTTCACACCTTCAGCTTATGTTCACTCTACAAACAGCAATTAAAAAGCTTACATTTGAGTCTGTCGCACAAATTCTGCAAAGTGTTGATCCCTTGCGCACAGCTCGATTATCCTCAGGCGTTCTTGAATCTCCTGCAGAGAGGTTAGAGGTCAGCACAGAGAAAACATGTTTGTGTGAGAGTCAGTCTAGAGGAGAAAGAGGAGGGGAAGAACGAGGATGAGGAGTTCCTGCATGTAAAAATACCCGTCTGCGTAGTACAGACCTCCTGCTGAGACTGAAAACCTCTGATCCAGAAAAATGTCACAACAGTTGGCCGGCTCTGTCTGAGGTGTCAAATTGATTTTACTTGAAGTAAAGCTTTGTGTAGGAGGTGAAAGTCACTTCCTTTATCAGCTGCCCTGTGATCCAGAACTATAAAAATCAAACCCATAAACTGGGTCCTCTTGAAAAGTTTCCTTTTCTAAACATTGCTGATGTTATAAAATCAGCACCCTTATTGTTCTTGATACAACATGCTCAGTAGTTACCCAATTCTATGCTACATAATAAATTTTTCAAAATCCTAAAACTAAATAGAAATTCATATTTTTCAACTCAATATCTGACACTCAGCTTGTTTATTTAAGCTACCATTTTCACTATTTGAGGGCATGTTCATGGTGTTCCACAAGGCTCAGTTTTGGGCCCATATTTTTTTGCAAATGCAACAAATTCCCCCTGTATGCAGATGACACCCAGCTTTACGCAGCAGAAATGTTGCCTTTTCCTACCTCTTTACTGAGTGTGGTGTTTTGATAGATGTTTTTTATCTCTTCACTGCTGAGGTCTTTAGAATCGCCTACACTGGCAGAGCTGCTGAAGTGAGGGAGCCCGCGATCAGACTCATGGTAGTACTGGGGCACGTCATCATTGTAGCGGCGGTAGTACTGGGCAGTAACAGGGTCACTCTCAAACATCGGGTTGAACTTGGTGGCACGTTCAAGTGTTGGCAAACTGTCACCTCGCCTGAAAGACAACGCAAGTTCAAAAAGTTTGCTTTCTAGAAATGTATTTTTTCTCATTTAATTTGTTGTTAAAACACCAATGATATTGTTGTACCGTAAGGGGTCCTCTGTGTCCTCCCCATCATACTGCTCTTGTAACGACCTAGCCAGGAAAAAGATAATCCCAGCCGCCACCATCAGGAAACCAGCCACTGAGGCAATGGCGATGCCCACCACCAATGGCTCGGAAACATACTCTTCACAGTGTTCACCACGATACCACCAATTTTCTCCAACACGACACCTGCAGCAAAGATTACAAATTTGTAGTACAAATTTGCAGTAAAAACACCAAAGATTATACTGAAATGGTCTAATGGTATGCTTTCAGGCTTTTTCAGCCCTCTTTTATTTAATATTTCTAGAACTGGCCTAGCAGTAATGTAAGCATTACATTAAGTAATATAATGCTGTAATTTCCATTCAGTATACAGCTGAACATCTAAATGCTTCACAGATGTCCTTCAACCTAGGAACATTTTGTGTTCATATTATTTATATTCTCCAAAGTGCTATGTAGCTGTTTGCAGATGAAAAAGGTATTTATGTTTAAGAACAACTGAGACAGATCATACAAAGTGCCTTGTATTTTGTTATAACATTAATCACATATTCACAAGGGCCACAAAGGACAATTTAATTTTAGAAATATATAATGCGAATCAAAAAAGGTTAAAACTTAAAAATGCAATTTTGTTGATAAGAAAAACATATCGAGGTAATATAAGCAGCTTTTATTTTGGAGGTAGTGCCCTCTCTTAACATTTATCTTTAATTGTCAGAGACCGTGCATAAAAATACTGACTTCATATCATAAAAGATACTTTATACCAGAATTCACTACTAGCTAATTTCTACCTGCTGTACCTGCAAAGGATCTTTTTTACTTTCAATGGGGAAAAAGTACTACCTACATCTGTATCTACAGGACATTAACTGCTTAGAAAGATGCATTTTATTTGAAGAAAGCTGACTGTTTTCTCTTTATTTTAAAGTCTTCAAATTGGTGCAAGCAGACATATTGCAGTATATTTATACATTGTAAACTAATTAAATATGTGGTAATATACTGAAGAATGAAACCAATGAGGCATAAAATACAGAAACATTGTGAAACAAGAACAGCGATATTTAATTTTCTCTTACCTGCAGATGGCACCCTTGCCAGGGATGATGTCACATTTTCCATCATTAAGGCAAAAATCGTGTTGCACCTCACAGATGCTCTGACATGGCAGGCCATCCACACTCAGATATCCAGCGTTGCACACACACTCTGCTTCACTTGACCACTGATTCACTATACACCTGGAAAACTTGTTACATGCCTGGAACTTACAGGGATCAGCCCGGTCACCTAAGGAACAAACAGTGGAAAATGAAAGGAGCAATTAGAAGACACAGTGTCATATGAAACCATAAGAAAGAGAAGAAGATGCCATCCTACATAAACAGAGGTAAGGGTTCAAAGAGCTCTAGTAAACTCCAGGCCTCAGGAGTCTGCATCTGGTCAGCACTCAAATGACAAAATGTTTGTTGGCCTGGTCTTAATAAAGACAAAAGCAGCACAAGGATAAATCAGTTTATGTTTATGTACTTCAGCATACCCTAGAAAGTGCTGGAAAATCTTAGATGCTTTTCTTAGGCTTTTTCAAGTCTTTTTTAACACAACAATCAAAGACTTTAAATATGTCCCATGAGACACCAGACCAGCAGCAAGAGTCCTGACTGTTTGTATCTTGGGAAAATCCTTAAGAGTTCAAGAACAACCAATCTAACTAACCTTTATATGACCCAATAAGGTTGACATGTGCTTGTGCAATGGAAAACCTGCCTCGAGAGTACAGGGAAGATGAGAGGAGTAAACTGATTATATGTACACAGTGAGTCCTGATGCAGTGACTCACTGCTATAGCTTAGGGTGATCAGGCAGTGAGGTGCTCCTCTGATTGGCTCAGACAGATTACAGAGCTACAGCTCAGCAGCAGAGGTGGAGGGAATATGGAGTAATTCCTCCGATAACAGTAAATAAAATCTCATTCTTCTGTGGATAAATCCTAAACTCTGCTGAAATGCAAACATGTATGTCACTGGACTGGCAGATTGGGTTACATGTAAGTCTTGAAACACTATTACAGCAACAAAAAACTTTCTTTTTGGACCTCTTGGTGGCAAATTGTTAATGATGTGTTAAGTGATTGTTCCACTCAGAGTTGTTGTTTTTTGCCAAATTCCACTATTTTAAACTTACACCACTTTCTTAGTTTTATAGGATTAGAGACATTTTATATTCTCGTTGAATGTTATGATTCTGCAAAAATGTCCTGGTGCTAATTACATAAAAACAAAAATAATACTTTTCAGGAAAACGGGACAGTTATTTTAGCAACATAGTATACAGACCTAAAGAATTAAAAGTGAACCACAGTGTTAATCTGAATTTAACAAGTAAAATGATTTCTCCTTCCTTTTCTCCCTCCTACACCTGTTTACGAGCTTCATTTAATACATACGTCTTTACACTCCTTTCAAAACCCAGATAAGAATCCTCACTGTCTACACTTAAAGACCTGCAGTTACTGCAACTATAAAAACCAGTCTAGGCTCAAAGGAGCAGCTCTAAGCAGCGGCCATGATGATGTCCCATCAGGGTGAGTCAGTGTGTGCTGCTACTGATCACGTTTCTGCCAGACAGATTATCTTGGGTATTAGATCGCAGTCCTGACAGCTGAAGCCTGTCAGAGCTGCTCAGACACTGCACATACAAATTTAGGATTTAACAGTCTGAGGAGCATCATGGCAATAAGTGCACAAGTAAACAGTAGCTTTGATTTCATTTCTCTACAGCAATAAACACATCTGACTGTATTCCACTTTATTCTACATTAAAAATAACTTACTGGAAAAAGAAAAACTATCAGTACATGACTGGAAAATAAATTTATGTGTTCAGATTTTGAAGGTATTTATTTATTCATATAGGTATTGAAGGGATCGTTTCTGTTTACCCTGAAATTCAAGCCTTAGATGCATAAAACCATGAATCAACTGGATAAAATTTTTAATTAATTCTGTACATTGTGGTTAAGTCGCCACATATAGAAGACAAATGTGTCCTGGTTTGTCCCTAACACCTAATCAGTTTAGGGATGTTGTTTTTCGTGAAGCCCACTGTGATCATAATTGAAATATGCTAAAACTGGAAGGCACTGATAGATACATTCAAGATGCTGATCTCATAATTTTAGTAACTGTATTAAAATTCAAGGGTCTGTAGTTTTAGAGAAAAACATTTTCAACTTATGAAACAGTTATTGTTAATGAATGTAAACTGAATATTTTCAGAATAAAGATAACACCTCAGTGTCAGTTTTAGAGACCCACAACTGGCAAAATTAGCATCTTCATAAAAGCATTAGATGTAATTCTGCACAAGCCTGGTTCTCCCAAAGGTCCCTTCCTGTTCCCTTGTAACAGGAAGGAACCCACTATCCCAAAGTGCTCACTCATGTTGGTGGGGGGGTGGGGGGTCATCTAATTGTTGGGTGAACTGATTTGAATTGAATCCTACCTGACTCAACATCAAGTGAGTACTTGTCAATTGCGAGGTTCATGGTCTGATAGGCAGTGTTGGCAAAGTCTTCCAAGATTAAATAGACAACATTGGTGACTCCTCTGTGTACTGGTTTACCAAACCTCATCCTACTGTTTACCACAATGCTGCCATTTCTAAAGTTAAGGATCTCCAGGTTCTGGAAGTTGTTCAGGTTTGACTCCAGGTATGGGACCAGCTATGAGGTGAAGATAAAGATGTGTTAGTAGCATGGCATATGAATCTGGAAGGTTCCTATTCACTGAGTCATGATTCTTTGAATCCTCACCAGCTGGAGGAAACGCTGCTCCAGAGCCTTGTATTCCGGGGAGCTCTTGTTGAACAGGTCCATTGAGAACACCATATTGGTCACCCTCAAGCTGAAGAAAATTGTTAACGCCCTGCCAGGTCGGGTTGGCAATGCAATGGCATCTAAATCAGAGGCCTGAGCTCCACTGGAGAAGCCACTGCTTTCCCCTTCAATCGACACCCCGCCATACTGGAAGACATCAAAGCTGACAGCGATGCTGGGCACATCAGAGACACCATGTTCAAAAGGTTGGAGTTCAGTCACAGGAACGTGGTCATCAACTTTCTGCACAGAGGAAGGAACAACGACTGCTGGTTTTGACTGTGGATCTGAAAATAGAGTGTGTACTGGGGTTTCACTAAGATCTTCATGTCTTGTGTCCTCACTGAAAACCACAGCTGGTTTTGACTGAGGAACCTTTGGAAGTGGTGTGTTTTTTGAAGCTTCATTAAGATCTTCATGGGTTCGATGCTCATGGTGAACCACTGCTGGTTTCGACTGACGACCATCTAAAGACGGAGCCCTCACTGGAGCTTCAGGAACATCTTCATGGTCCTGATGAGGAATCACTGCCGGTTTTGACTTAGGACCATCTGAAGGCGGAGCCCTCACTGGAGCTTCAGGAACATCTTCATGGTGCTCATAATGAATCACTGCTGGTGTTGACTGAGGACCATCTGGAGAAGGGGTGCTTACTGGAGGTTCAGGAAGATCTTCATGGTTTCGATAATCAAGGTGAACCACTGCTGGTTTTGACTGACGACCATCTAAAGACGGAGCCCTCACTGGAGCTTCAGGAGCATCTTCATGGTCCTGATGACGAATCACTGCCGGTTTTGACTGAGGACCATCTGGAGAAGGAGTGCTTACTGGAGGTTCAGGAAGATCTTCATGGTTTCGATAATCAAGGTGAACCACTGCTGGTTTTGACTGAGGACTACTTGAAGATGGAGTGCTTCTTGGAGCTTCAGGAAGCTCTTCATGGTGTTCATGGTAAACAACTGTTGGTTTTGACTGAGGACCATCTACAGGTTCTGTGCTTACTGGTGCTTCATTAAGAACTGTATGCTTTGTGTGCTCATGGTGAGCTACTACTGGTTTTGACTGAGGACCATATGGAGGAGGAGTGCTTGATGGAGCTTCAGGAAGATTTTCATGGTGTTCATGATAAATCACTGCTGGTTTTGATTGAGGAGCATCTGAAGGTGGTGTGATTACTGAAGTGTTAGTAATATCTTTATACCTTGTGTGTTCATGGTGAAACACTGCTGGTTCATTGTGAACCAGATGGTCTAACCCATCTGGAGACTGTGTGCTTATTGAGGATACAGTAAGCTCTTCATGGTTTAGTTGCTCATGATGAATCAGATCATCATCATCTGGCACTGAATCTGACACTCGAGTGAATGGCGAGTCCTTCTCTGGTGAGAGTGCAATGCTACTGTGGTGATCTGGCCTTACTGATGAAGTTGGGACTGGAGTAGTAGTTGTTGTAATGGCGATCATCACCTCATCCACAATCAGGTCCTCATCTTGTACTTTATTTGCTGGTGCTGTTGTTGTTGTCCCGATATGCTGTTCTTCCAAAATTTCAACCTGATCTTGGGCTTTTATTCCTGCCAGTAGCAGTTCAGGTTTTTCTGTAAGAACTTCAACTATTGATGGTGCATCAGTGATGGCATCAAAGCTGAAATCACTGCCCGTGATTGTGTGTGGGGTAGCAGGGCTGTCCCTATCAGGTACTTTAGGTGGTCCAGATATAACTGTAACTTGAACATCTACATTCTCAGGTCCATTTTCTGCATATTTAGATTCAGTTGTAACCATTGAAAGCTCTATTGTTGTTTCACTAGGCACTTCCACCTCTTCAGTGGTTTTATGAAGCCCAATAGCTAAATCCGATGGTCCAGTAAAAACAGCTTCCTCCTGAGTCCAAGCCCCAGGTTCAGGAGAATCTGTAACTACTCCCACAGGGGTTTGAGGCTCAGTCAAGGAGTAGTCATCATACATGCCAGACGCTTCCACTGTTTGTACAGAAAACTCGACAGCCAGAGTTTCTTTGGGAGAAAAAACAGGTGCATGAGTTGTGGTTGAGTATCGGGGATCAGTGCTTATGTGCGGAGTCACCAGGACCTCATCCAGAAAAGGTTTTTCAAAATGTCCTTCTGACGATGCTTCTTCAAAAACAGGAGCTGCTGTTGCTTTTAAAATAAATTCTACTCCCATGTCAACCAAAACAGATTTCTTAGTAGTTAATGGTTCAACAGCAACCTCGCCTAAATCAATGTCCTCCTCTTCAGTCTCCTCCAGGTCAGGCGGTGGGAGCATGTCCAGGCTTCCACCTTCATTGTCACTGAATGTCACTGAAGTCTGCCAAATCCAAAGATCAGTTTCCTGGTCGTCTCCAGAGGACCCAGAGCCAGAACCATCATTCTGAGTGAGCCCTGGTATTGTCTGCTGGTTTACAGGAGGGGGTTGTCTGGCTGCAGAGGAAATTTCAGGACTGACAGCATCATTCTCTCGGTTGGTTTTGTCACTGGCAGGGGGAGAATTACTCAAGAGGAATCCCTCATCTTCAATTTTTCCATCACCTGTAGAAACGAGAAAGTCAAGAACAGAACAGGTTTATTACATATTATTATATATTCTTGTATATATATAAAATATCTAATATTTTATATACACACACACACATATACATATATATACATATATATATATATATATATACATATATATATACACATATATACATATATATATGTATATATATATATATGTATATATATATATATATATATATATATACACATATATACATACACATATATACACACATATACATACATATATACATATACATATATACATACATATATATATACATACATATATACATACATATATATATACATATATACATACATATATATACATACATATGTATATATACATACATACATATATATATATATATACATATATATATACATATATATATATACATACATATATAGCAGCTGGATAGCGTAGTGGTTAATCTACACGCCTTTGGAACAGAGGATCGCAAGTTCGATTCCTGCCTGGGGCGTCTGTATCCAGTAAGGGTCCTAAGGCTAGACCCCCTATGCTAAGCAAGCCTACCGCAGACATGAGCGAGACAGATAAATATGAAGGCATGCCGGCTCGGACGTCGCCCGGATCAACAAGGTCCGCGTCAGGTGTTGAGGAACCAGGGCACCCTGACGAAAAGTGGGCTACTGGAACAAGAAGGTATCGGTGGGCAAGGGACGAAAACAGGGCGTTGTTGGAATGCTACTACGCAAGTAACCCCGGCGGAAGGGGCTACATGAATAGGATGAGGGACCTATGGATTCTTCGATACCCAACATCCACAATGACGGCGAAACAGCTAGTAGCTCAGTGTTCCAACATTCGAAAGAAGGGACTGCTCTCACAGCTAGAGATTGACGAGGTACAACACAAATGCTACGGCAAGGAGGAGTCAGGACGCCAGGTCAGGGGGAGATATCATCACCCCCACCCGAGATTGGGTACATAGCCCCAAGTGCGATAGGAGAAGGATCGTTGAGTGCGAGAGGAACTGACCTGAAAAATAGGATCATGGCCAAGCTTGAAACCTGGATCCCCCGTAGCCGGTTACCAAGATTACGTGAAGTACCCTCAGAAGGTCTGCTAGATGATGTTAATGCAGCACTACGGGCAATACCTACAACCACGATTACCGACACTAACAAGCTGATCTACAATACGGCAGCAGTGATCAGTGAGATGCTTGGCTACAAGTTGAACAGCCACAAGGGGCAGTACCCTCCATGGAGAAGGAGGCTAGAGGGCAAGATCAAAGTAGCACGGAGGGAGGTTAGCCAACTAACGGAGTTGCAGAAAGGTGCGACAAATAAGGTGCCTAAGAAATACAGCAAGTTGTCCATACCTGAGGCCTTGGAAACTGCCAAGCAAAGACTCACAGCCTTGGCCAGCCGCTTGAGGAGGTACACCAGAGAGATAGAAGGCAGGAGAATAAACCAGCTGTTCTCCACAGAACCAGCAAAGGTGTACTCTCAGTGGCAAGGGAACAATAAGAGAACAGCACCACCAAGGCTGGAGACGGAGCAATACTGGAAGAGCATATGGGAGAAGGATGCAACCCATAACGGCAATGCTCAGTGGCTAGAGGATCTGAGGGCAGACCACAGCGACCTCCCTGAACAGGGTCCAGTAACCATCACAGTGGCAGATATCCAAGAAAGGGTCTCCAGTATGAAGAGTTGGACAGCACCAGGGCCCGACATGGTTCACGCCTACTGGCTGAAGAAGCTGACTGCACTCCACGAGCGTCTGGCAGCACAAATGAACCAGCTGCTAGTTAACGAAAGACACCCGGAATGGCTAACTGAAGGCCGGACGGTCCTGATCCCCAAGGACCCCAAGAAGGGACCGGTCCCCTACAACTACCGACCAATAACCTGCCTCAGTACTACATGGAAGCTCCTGTCAGGCATCATATCGGCTAAGATGAACAGGCACATGGGTCAATACATGAGCGGGACACAGAAAGGAATTGGCAAGAATACCAGAGGTGCAAAACACCAGCTACTGGTAGACAGAACAATCAGCCGAGACTGCAAGACCAGACTGACCAACCTGTGCACTGCCTGGATTGATTACAAGAAGGCCTATGACTCAATGCCCCACAGCTGGATACTGGAATGCCTAGAATTGTACAAGATCAATGGGACCCTAAGAGCCTTCATCAGGAACTCAATGGGGATGTGGCGTACAACACTAGAGGCCAACTCCAAGCCCATAGCACAAGTTACCATCAAGTGCGGGATCTACCAAGGAGATGCTCTGTCCCCACTGCTGTTCTGCATAGGCCTGAACCCCCTCAGTGAGATCATTAACAAGACTGGCTACGGATACCGACTACGGAACGGAGCAGTTGTCAGCCACCTCCTGTACATGGATGACATCAAGCTGTATGCCAAGAGTGAACGAGACATCGATTCACTGATCCACACTACCAGGCTATACAGCAATGACATTGGAATGTCGTTCGGACTGGAGAAGTGTAGTCGGATGGTAACAAAGAGAGGGAAGGTAGTCAGAACTGAGGGGATTGAACTACCAGAAGGCAACATTGCAGACATAGAGGACAGTTACAAGTACCTGGGGATCCCGCAGGCAAATGGGAACCATGAAGAGGCCGCTAGAAAGGCTGCAACCACCAAGTACCTGCAGAGGATCAGGCAAGTCCTGAGGAGTCAGCTGAATGGTAAGAACAAGATCCGGGCCATCAACACATACGCCCTGCCCGTGATCAGGTACCCTGCTGGGGTAATAAGCTGGCCAAAGGAGGAGATAGAAGCCACTGACATAAAGACAAGAAAGCTCCTGACCATGCATGGAGGGTTTCACCCCAAGTCCAGCACCCTGAGGCTGTACGCTAAGCGGAAGGAAGGGGGCCGGGGACTGGTGAGTGTCAGCACCACAGTCCAGGATGAGACAACGAACATCCAAGAATACATTGGGAAGATGGCCCCAACTGACCGAGTGCTCAGTGAATACCTCAGGCAGCAGAAACCCAAGAAAGAGGAGGGAGACGAGGAACCATCATGGAAGGACAGGCCCCTGCACGGTATGTACCACCGGCAGATAGAGGAGGTGGCTGATATCCAGAAATCCTACCAGTGGCTGGACAAAGCTGGACTGAAAGACAGCACAGAGGCACTAATCATGGCAGCACAAGAACAAGCTCTGAGTACAAGATCCATAGAGGCTGGGGTCTATCACACCAGGCAAGACCCCAGGTGCAGGCTGTGTAAAGATGCCCCAGAGACTATCCAGCACATAACAGCAGGGTGCAAGATGCTAGCAGGCACGGCATACATGGAACGCCATAACCAAGTGGCCGGCATAGTGTACAGGAACATCTGTGCCGAGTATAACCTAGAAGTCCCGAGGTCAAAATGGGAGATGCCCCCAAGGGTGGTGGAGAATGACCGAGCTAAGATCCTGTGGGACTTCCAGATACAGACGGACAAAATGGTGGTGGCTAACCAACCGGACATAGTGGTGGTAGACAAACAGAAGAAGACGGCCGTAGTGATCGATGTAGCGGTTCCCAATGACAGCAATATCAGGAAGAAGGAACACGAGAAGCTGGAGAAATACCAAGGGCTCAGAGAAGAGCTCGAGAGGATGTGGAGGGTGAAGGTAACGGTGGTCCCCGTGGTAATCGGAGCACTAGGTGCGGTGACTCCCAAGATAGGCGAGTGGCTCCAGCAGATCCCGGGAATAACATCGGAGATCTCTGTCCAGAAGAGCGCAGTCCTGGGAACAGCTAAGATACTGCGCAGGACCCTCAAGCTCCCAGGCCTCTGGTAGAGGACCCGAGCTTGAAGGATAAACCGCCCGCAGGGGCGTGCTGGGTGTTTTTTTTTTTTTTTTATACACATATATATATATACATACATATATACATATACATATATATATATATATATATATATATATATGTATATGTATATGTATATATACATATAAAATTCACTTTTCTGTACAGTAAGTAAGAATTTACTGTTTCGAGTCTCCAGATCGAAGGTCTTCTGTGGAAATTCAGGGTTCAGTGGAGACGCTGTACTCTCATCAAGCAAAAAGACATCATTCTCGCTTGTCCTGTCAAGCTGTGGAGCTTTCCACTGGCTGAAAGGATCGAACAGGAAGTCCTCCTTCTTTGAGAAAACATCATTGTCATCCGCCTCATGCGTCGGTGCATCGGGAGGCTTCTCTGCAGCGAGGACATTGTCCTTGAAACAGAAATCATTTAAAGAGTGTCATCAACATAAAATTCTATATATTTTACTAGTTTCCAAGAACTATGATTTGCCATATTCTCCATGTGAGAGAGTTAGCAGAACAGTATAAATGCACACTCATCTCATGTTTACTTTAATTTTTTATCAACAGTAATACAGCTGGACGCTTGTACTTTATAAGATGGTCGATACTTTAAGGAAATGAACATATATAGAACATGTACCGATAATTTTAAGTATGTTTAAGTTCGACTCACCATGTTGTCAAAGGTGTCAAATGGTTGACTTGTTGGTTTCACAGGAGGCAACAAGTTCTCTGCTGCAGAAAGAAACAGGATCAGTTAGAGTTGAAGATCTGTCTGATGGAATATATTTATTTGTTATCGTGAATAAGAGTAAAATGGATTTGCACTCAGTTTTGTTTTGAACTGAGCTTTAAATAGTTTTTGGTTTTATTTGAGTTGTTAAAACCTTATTATTTATTTCTCAATAATAATATTAAAACACTTGAGGTAAAGTGTCAGGTATGGTACCATTCTCCAACAGCAGTGGGTCACCCTGTGTCTCCAGGCTATTGTTGGTCATGAAGTTGTCTTTGTGCAGAGCCTCAGTGATGTAGTTGCGGAAGTCAGTGATGGTGTAGACAACAGTGGGCTGCTCAGCGGAACCAGGGTAGTTCTTCTCCACAAGGTTGTTCTGCAGAGAGATGAAATCCAACGTGTCGTTGGCAATCCCACTCCCATCCACCTCCAGAGTGATGGCATAGTGCACAAGGACCACCAAACCCCTAAGAGGACGAAAACAGGACTGGTCAGCTTGTTTCACGATACTACAGGAACCTGAATCTCATCAGGTTAGTTTGGTAGGGAATTATCAGGCAACATTGGGAAATTATCTTGACATCAAGATGTCTTTTCTACACTAACCCAATGCCGCTGAATCTTTGATTTTATTTATTTTTTGCTGTGTTTTACTTGGATCTATTTGAAAGAGTAAGTGTAAACACAAAAAAATATTTTATTTTATATGCTGAAATATGCAGAAAATAGGTTTAAATGTTAAACAAATTTCTTCAAGTTGCATATAACTAATTTTTTGCTTGATGCAATGTGCATAAAGTTAAAAGATTAAAACTGTTAAAATAATTTTTAAAAAGAGACTTTCATTTGATTCAATTTTATATGATAGATTATGCAGAAAAAATGAATTGGGCTGAAATGTCTGTATTCAGGTTGTGTATAATGTTTTTATAAAGTAATAAAGTAACTAATTACCTTTTAAAATAAGTAATCAGTAAAGTAACGGGATTACCTCCTTGAAGAAGTAATCACTAATTGGTAACTAATTACTATTTTCAAGTAACTTGACTAACAGTGATCAAGACATTATCTGGAAATGTTAAAAAGATGTTGCTTTATTATCCATAAATTATCACAATGTCAATTAAGATAAATACTGGCAAATTGTTATGAGATTATCACTAACGTCTGAGGAAATTATATCCACTGCAGTTCTTAATAAAACCTACAAGTTATAAGGCTATATTTAGTGAAAAGAGTAACTTTTTACTGATGTCTGATAATGTTGTTTCAGCAGTTTGTTTTTTTAAATCACAGCTGACATGCAAACATCTATAATCTGATGATTTTACAGCCTGACTGTTTTCCTCCTGCAGCTCTCAGAGTTCAGGTAGCTTTAGGGGCTCACAAAGACAGACTAACCTGAGGTGGGGTTTCCCGGACAGAATAACAGTGAGCCTGTCATAAACCTTTAACGGTAACACTACAGGGTCTACAGGTGGCCTGAAGCTACCCAACGACTTATCCCACTTAAGAGGTGACTGTTGGTAAAGACATTAAGCGGCAAGTAGAGCAGAGCTACAGCAGAGCCGTTATTTACAGGTCACAGGGGTTGTGAAGACATGATGACGTGGAAAGCATGACATTTGGACTCATAATCTACAGGGTAGCTTATCTCCACACGAGCTTTGAGAAGTTACTTTACTGTATTGTCTGTATCAGGTAGCGAATCTATAAAATCAGGGGATAATAGAAAAACTAACGTTTGTCCAACTTACCGCTCCAGATCCTTCTGGGGTCTGAAAAAACAGGGAAAACACAACATAATATAACTAAAACAATAGTCAATGACTTATTTTAAAATTTGTATCTTTTCTTTAGCAAAACTAATTTTACATGAGGGCTTGATAGGTGCTCTTTTTGTACTGTATGCCAGCTGAATTGTACCTGAATTCCACAATGTAAACCGTCTTGAAGCCCGGCACTCTATGAAAGGCATCTTCAATCTGTTTGTCGAAGAAAGGAAGAAAACATGAGTGAAAACCTCTAACATCAGAGTCAAACCAGACTTTTGTGAGGCCAAGTTAGCAACTTATAACATATATATATGTGTAAAAATAAAGCCCTTTTATGAGATCGCAGCTTTTTCTATTGGTTGAACAACAAGTGGGTGAGGCTTCTGTTTCTCAAATGACTATATTAGGGGATATCCATTTTTAGGATGTCGTGCAAAACCAAGGGTAGAAAAACATTGTGTGGAACTGAGCATTTAGAAAAGTCTGAAACTCACAGAGATTTCTTATATGTACACTGACCTCAGTGCACTCTAGGTCTAATCCAGGTTCTGTTTCTAGTAGAATAGGCCTGAAACACCTTATCCAGGAAGTGTTCAGCACCAAATCAGCACCACTACAGTGGTGGGTCTTATCACCAACAGTGATGAGACAGCTTACAGGGAGGAGGTCAGCGCCCTGACCCACTGGTGTCAAGACAACCATCTCACCCTCAACGTCGCAAAGACAAAGGAGTTGATAGTGGACTTCCGGAGGTGCAGAGAAGTACACACCCCCATCACCATCAACGGCGCTGCTGTGGAGAGAGTGAGCAGCTTCCGGTTCCTTGGTGTACATCTGGCTGAGGATCTTACGTGGTCAGTACACACAAACAAAACAGTGAAGAAGGCGCAGCAGCGCCTCTTCTTTCTCAGGAGACTGAAAAGATTCGGCATGAGCCCCCGCATCCTCAGGACCTTCTATCACTGTGCCATTGAGAGCATCCTCACTGGATGCATCACCACCTGGTATGGCAACAGCACCGCCTACAACTGCAAAGCTCTCCAGCGAGTAGTGCGGTGCTCTGAACGGATAATTGGAGGTGAGCTTCCCTCCCTCCAAGACATCTACAGGAAGCGATGCCTGAGGAAAGCGGGGAGGATCATCAAGGACTCCAGTCACCCCAGCCAGAAACTGTTCAGACTACTTCCATCAGGAAGGAGGTTCTGCAGCATCCGGTCCCGTACCAGCAGACTGAGAGACAGCTTCTTCCATCAGGCCATCAGACTGCTGAACACGTCATAGACACCTCAGCTTCACTACTGGAACTTTAACATTATGCACTCCATACTGTACAGTAATGCCACTGTTTTGCACATGTCTCAACTCTGTATATTTTATTTTATATATTTTATTTATTGTTTACTCTATTTAATTTGTAAAATATGTGTACACACACACACACACACACACACACACACACACACACACACACACACACACACACACACACGTAGAAAAATATTTAGTATACACATCCAGAAATGCATACACTATTATATATTGTACATATATTTATTAGTTTCAGATGTAGCCATTCTTGTATTTTGCTTGTTTACATTATTGTATTTTGCACAACTCTGTTGCTTGTGAAGCTCGCACACAAGAATTTCACTCACATGTGCTGTACCAATGTACCTGCACATGTGATGTGACAATAAAAGTGATTTGATTTGATTTGATTTAAATCATCCGAGTGGTCACAAAAGCCAAGTTTATAGTTTCACAAGGCAGACTGGTCCTAGGTGTGAGGCTAGACTAAGAGTGATTATGAATATCACTATGATAAACTACAACAGCAAAAACCAAGTTATTCTGCCTAGAACAAAGTTACCAAGCACCTTACTCTAGTCCCAGGCCAGGGTTAGTAGCTTAGGATTGACTGCCTGGTTGAACGAGCCTTAACCCATGGGCTTCAGTGTATTATGGACTGAGCAGTCAGGGCATGATATTAGAGGCAGAGCTGATGTTGTTTTGCTCGGAACTGCTAAAGAACTGATGAATATTTCTGGAGAGAAGGTGGACTTCTCATTTGTCAGACAGTCTCATAGTTGAGATGAAAATAATCTCTTTAAATTACTTTTGGCTGTGAAATGTGTGCAGCTAAAAGCTGCAACGAAGGATGAGTGGACTCAAACTGTCAGAGAAAGAAACATTGACCTTTACTTAAGACTGCAATCTGTAAAGATTTAATACACTGTGAATAATTAACTATATAAATATATGGCTTTAAGTTGTAACAGTGGAAGTAAGTCTTTTTCCATATGAGTATTGTTCATGCCAGCCCTTTTTCTGCTTTAAATTATCAAGAAAAATGATCTGCTGATGGTGAGACGTACTCTGAAGACCTGCTAATGTTCATAAAGCTGGAGGTTTATACAGTCTTCTCAGAGAGTGACCACTGTGTGCATTTTTAAACACGTATTAGCTCTTCAAGTTGGAAGTCTTCCCACTTTGTAAAACCATCATGGAAAGACAAACTGATAAATGGTTGGCCATTCGGTTTCTTGATGCCCAGTTAAAGTCATGCTTATCTGGATAAAAAACAGCATTTTGCATTTGCACTGTGCTTCTTCTTCTTCATGTGTGTTTCTGTGCTGCAGCAGAGCTCCTGCTGCTTCTATTATCCACTTCATACTCCCTCATTAACAAGCCTGACCCCGATACTTAAACCATAAACTGCCTTCCCGCGTCACTAACGTGGAGTGGAGCCTGAAAGCCTCCCGGCAGTTCGGGAACTCACCAGCGCTCTGCTTTCCTGGCAAAGCAGCTTTTTTTCCAGCAGCTCGTGGTGACTCACTGCTCGTATACTGTACTGTGTGTCCTCTGCAGTTTTCCAGCTCTGTTTCTGCCTCATCGGCTCGTATAGCCGATTGCTGGCAGGGGGGAGGAAACTGAGCTCAAAAGCGTGAAGAATCCGAATGCGTGAAAAACAGGCAAAAGCCTTTAAAGACACAGCCAAACTCCTGAGTCTGCAGTTTGTGGGAAACCACAAGCAAGTCAGTTTGGTGATGAGTAAGTATGGTGGACGTCAGAGAAAGTAGTTAAAGAGAAGGAAGGAGGGAAGAAGAGGTGTCAGCAGGAAGCACAGAACCAAAACAAGGAGGAACAAAGTTAAAAACATTCTGAGATAAAAATCATTTCCAGAAAATCCCTGCTGTTTCCAACATAAAATAGCTCACAGAGTACAAACAACAATCATTGAGAAGGAGATGCTCCTCTTTTTAGGCCCCTAGACTCTAAACTGCTACTTTCATATGTTTGCATTTGCTTTGAACAACTTTGTGTTCAACAGACAAAAACTACAGTTACATTAAACAGGTCTCCTGGCACCTATAGCCCCAGGTACAGTGACTTGACCCATGTGTAAAGGGTTAGATAAACCGACACCAAGTAAGTAACAAAGATTGCAGTTCCTCTAATGCAAGGCTGGGGAACTCCAGGCCTCAAGGAACAGTGTCCTGCAGATTTAAGATATTACCCTGGGTCAACACACCTAAATCAAATGATTAGTTTATTACCAGGCCTCTGGAGAACTTAAAGACATGTTGGGGAGGTAATTTAGCCATTTAAATCAGGTGTTTTGGATCAAGGACCCATCTAAAACCTGCAGGACACCGGTCCTTGAGGCCTGGTGTTCCCCCACCCCCCTGTTCTAATGTCTACTTGAGGCTGGCTCCAGCAGTGATTCAGTGTTAGAATATCCACCTTTACAGCAGAAATACACATGTTTACCTGATACAAAAGCCTGTTACAAAAAAAACCCTAATTTCCCCCTTCATAACAACTATACAGGGGATAATTTTTATGACTCATCTGTTTAAATTGTATTAAGACTCAAGGTTTGTATTATTAGAGGCATGACCTCGTAGATTGGCAGACAGATGATGACATATGGAGCTGTAGCTGCTAGCTGTCTTCCAGGCTTCGTGTCAGCAAATCGATTCCCTAGGATAGACTGTGTTTGTGCTGTTGAGCTTTTTGGAGCATTTTAAATGTAATTGTGTGAGTACTAGTATGGCTGTTCTATGCTTAATTGTACTAATAGGCCATTCAAGAAGTCTCTTTTGGTGAGCGAAATTTTGGGATTTTATTTATATGTTAATTAGCACAAATGTACAAGTATTTGTGTCAGCTTGCTGAGAAAACTAGCTAGCATTTGCCAATAATTTGGGACTCCACTCTGACTGTGACATTTTCACTTCCTACTCCAAAAAAACACCGCACCACCAGACCTAATATTAAGCCTTAAAAAGAGTTTTCAAATCCATTTCACTCACTGAAATAAACTCAATTAAATAGCTGCACTGATTTCATGAAAGATTGACCACAGATTCTAAGGTTCTTCTTCAGATTTGTTGAGTCATTAATATTTGCATTAATATTCTTGGTTTATATGAATGAAAAAAGAATCACACTCCTTCTCCTACTCTTTTTCATTTGACATTTTTGGCTGTTATCTAATGCAAAGAATTTGCAGTCAAGCATATAAAATTCTTTAGAAAAATACCCGTGAGTATACTCTTAATGCTGTATACAAGTCACTGTTCAGGTAATGACTACAGCAGGTATGTTGATATCTCAGAAAGTCATGTATATCCAACCCAACATTTCATAGTGGTAAAGCATCTTAAAAAGTGCACATTACATGGCATGTCTGCACAGACCCCTTCATATATAGAGCAGATTGAAAATATAGTTGACTCACCCTGCGTTTGAAGTGTCTGGCCAGCTGCTGATACTCAAAGCTGCTTGGGTCTCTCAGCGCATCGTTGTAGGTTTCCTCTTTCAGTTTCATGCTCAACTCTACCACCTCATCCTTCAGGGGCCTCGGGGGCAGAAGTAACGTGTCTATCTCATTGCCAATCTAAATTTGAAGGTAGGCATACGGATATGGGGTTGGTGCTGGAATGTCATGTATGAAGGGATTACCTCAAGTCATCTGATTAAACATATCTTCTTACCAAGTTCTCCTCCTCATCCTCCAACTTGAAGCCATTGTTTCCAAAAAAGTTGCCATTTACGTCATAAACCCTCTCTGTAAAATCGGGAAAGTTACCATTATTGTATTCGACCACATACTTGGTCGTAACCTCCAAATAGGAAGTAGGGGTAGACTCCTCAGTGGCACCCAGTGTAGTACTTTGTGTTCTCTCTTCAGTGAAATCCACAACTGTTTCTAGGGTGATGGAATCAACTGACTCAGGTGCCACTTCTAGTGGAGTCTCTGTTAAGATTTCATCCACTTCTTCAGTTGGGGAGTCACCCTCAGCTGATTCTTGATCAGGGTCTTCTAAAGCTACCGGGATACTGCCCTCATCTGAGGCACCATCTTCCTTACTGGGAAGCTCTTTAGGAGACTCTGGGGTGACCCCCTTAGGGGTTTCTACCTCTGAAATTGTGCCTGGTTGGGCATCAGTGACAGCTTTTGGAGATGTTTCAAGTGGAGCCTTTGAGATTTCTTCCTCACTTCCCACTTCAGATCCACCTGGAGGTTCCACTGTTATCTCAGGTGCAGATGTCTCTGTGTCTTCTGGAACAACAACAAGCACAGGAGTGATTTCTTCATCAGATTCTGAAGGGGTCTCTGTAACTTCTGGTGAAGTTTCATCTGTTTCTGGATCTTCAAATCCAGCTTCTTTCTCCGTTACCTCATCTAAGCTCTCAAAGGCAGCTTCTTCTCTGTCCTCAAATGTTTCCCCTTCAGCTGCTTCTTGAGTTTTATTGACAGATGTTAAAACAAAATCAGGTTTATCATCCTCCGTTATTGTTTTGGGTTTTGATTGTTCTATAGATTGTCTTGTTGGTTCATTTTTTTCACCAGTTTCTTTTATAGATTCAATTTGGGCTGGTTCTGTTGTGGGTTGTGTTTTTTCTGTAGTATCTTTGATGAGTTCGCCTTCTCTTGGTTCTTCTGTGGGTACTGCTTTGAGTTCTGGTCCTTCTGCTTCTTGAACTAGGTCATTTTTGAGTTCAGGTTTCACTGTCATTTCTTCACTTAGTTCTGTTTTTCTTGTCGGTTCTCTCTTGGGTTGTGGTGACTTCTCATGAATCTCTTCTACGGATTTGGCCTCTGTCACTGGTTTTTCTATTAGTTCTGTCTTTTCTGTGGTTTCTTTAACAGGTTCCAGTTCTTGTGCCAATTCTTCCAGAGGTTTAGTCTCTTCTCTGATGACTTCTACAAGTTCTACTTCTTCTGCTGGTTCTATTGTGGGCTCAGTCTCCTTTGTTGTTTCTTCTATGGGTTTGACATCCTTTGTAGTCATTTCTGAAGGTTCTACTATATCTACAATTTCTTCCACAGGTTTGAGAGGTTCAGGTTCATGTAAAGTTTCCACTAAAAGTTTTGGTTGTTCTGTAGTTTCTTCCTTTCTTCCTTCCTCCTGTACAGTTTCTCTAAAGTCATCACTTGTATCATCTTCATCTTTAACTGGTTCTCCTGTAGCTTCCGATATTTTCCCTTCTATCTGTGTTACATGTTTTTCCTCTTCAAAAGGTATTTCTACAACTACCTCAGCTCTTTCTTCTTCTGTTGTGTCTGTTGCGACATCGTCTGAGGTTATTAATGTAGTCTCCATTATAACTGTCGCCTCTTCAGCTTTTTTGTGTAGTTCTTTTGCTGCTGCTTCTGGTGCTGTTACTGTTTGAACTGCAACTTCTTCAGCAACTGTATCTTTTGGCCCTTCTACACCAGTCTGTGTTATTTGTTTAGTCCTATCTACCAGAACAACCTCTTCTTGTTTGACTTCTGCTTTTACCTCCTCTTTTGACACCACTGGTATTTCTTCTTTGCTGTGTTCCTTGGATGTAGTTATCTGTATTGTTGGCGGTTCCTCTGTGACACTATATTTTTCACCTTTGTTATGTTCTAATATTAGAACAGGCTTAGAAGTAACCTCAGCCATTAGTGTTGGTTTGTCCTTTGGAGTGTATTCAACAACTGTTACTTCCATCTTATGTGTTGTCGTCAGAATTGAGGCCTGGGAGGGGACTTCTGTTTCTACATTTGAGGCAGATCCTTGTTTTGGAGTCACATTATTGAATATTTCAGCTTCTTCTTCTGCATCTGTTATCAGTAATACAGTTTCTGTTGCTTCTGTGATGACTTTGGTTACTTCTTGGCTCACCTCTACAACTGCCTTTGAAGGATGTTCTACTGGAGGTGCATGTATTTTGCCTTCAGCTTCTTCAGGAATTGGAAGTGGTATTGCTTCATCAATTGGCTCTTGTAAATCCTCTGAGGGTTTCTCTACAAAATCCTCAGTGAACGTTTTGTCATGGATATCCAGAGATTTTTCTGGAATTCGTTTAATTTCTGTCTCAACAGCATCTTCCGTGGTTGCCTTAGGGATGTGCTGTATCATGACTTCTGAAGGAGCCTCAGAGGTCACCTTCGGATGTACCTTCTGCCCTAATTCCTCCAATGTGATAGTTTCTGATGCTGTGGTGGGTTTCTGAAGAACCACAACAGCTTCTTCTGTGGGTGCTTCATGGGCCACAACCTCTAATGGAGGTTTCTCACCTTTTGGGGTAACTTCCTGAATGACCTCAGAGTCAACTATGATCACATTTTCAGGGATGATCCCAATGATCTTGTCATCTTCAACTACAGCCTCCTCCTTATCTGATATTTCAGGGATAGTTTTGTCTTCCCCAATTTCCTGATCGATCCAATTTAAAGGCTTATGTGTAACAGCGTAATCAGCCTCTGTTGCCACCTCCACAGAATCCTCAAGCAGGCCCCCAACACTTAAAACCTCAGTGTTAATGTGTGCCGTAGACTCTTGATGTGGACCTTTAGTCACAGAGACCGGAGGAACCCAAGAAGTGACCTCAAGATCTACAGTAAGATCGTCTTGCTTGATTGTGATTGTCTCTGATCCAATGATGATGTCACTCTCTCCTATAGTTGCAAAAAAGAAGAGAAAACTTAAAGGAGGAGGACAAAGAAAAGGTAGCATTTTAAGCATTACAACCAAATTCTACTGCAGAATTTTTAAATTTTGCTCACCTTATTGTTGATACACTAATCTCGAATACAACAAATAACAACACCAAAACATTTCTGTATATATATTTAACTTATCAGATATCCTAAATGGGTTCTTTGTAACAATGAGGGTAAGTATAAAATGTTTAAAAGAACTGAAGAGAAGAGCACCAGTTTTTAAGAAATACTCAGTTTATCCTCGCTATTGCAGTTTTCAGCTTCATAAAACAAGGTGTGTCCTTTGCCTCCTTGTTCCTGCTTGTAATTGACATTGACTGCAGAGCTGAAGAATGTTACTTAACAATGCTAACCTGTGACCTAAAGTTCCACTGGAAGTCTGCCATGTTTTCCCTCTGGATAAAATAACTTCCAGGTCTGCCAACAAGTAACTAATCCTTAAAATGATCTGCTAAAAAAAGGCTGCAATTCATGACTTCTGACAGCAGGGGTTCTGTTGAGAATCTCATTGAGATCTGGGGACTATCATGAACGTCACCGACTTCATGAACCAAGAGTGTCATGAAAACATTCTGCAGTTTTCTTTCTATTGGATGTCAATGTGAAGACCTCATAGCCGATGCACTTTGACAGAAATCATACTGATGATGACATGAAACAAAAACAAGGTCAAAATGAACCATCTGTAGCTGTGATTTCACTAACCCTGATAGTTGTCCTGCAGTAACTCTGTCATGTCCACATTTCTGCTCCCAGTCCTCTACTCAGTCTCCATCCATTGACCAGACAGTTGCCCGTAAATAGGCTTACAGATCTATTCTGAGAGTGGAGCGTGTCACGGGAATCAGCCTCCTGCACCCACTCCTACTTCACATAAGTCAGATTTGGTTGTAAGGTGAGTGACTGCGGCTGCTGACACTTTGTGCCACCAATTGGGGTTTCAACAAAGACTTTCAGTGGCTCGTAAAAGAGTCACCAGTAAGGCACTAATCTGTATGCACATCCAGTCCATAGATTCCTTCAGCTAGTTGTAAAGCCCATTCATGAATATTTGTTAGGGCTATGCCAAAGATGGCAAAACATCCCTAAATTAGAAGTTTTTGGCATGCACAGGGGCTTCTCAAATCAGTATTTTTTTTTTTCAATTTATCAGTTTTAAACCAAAGTCCTGGTGTCCTGGTGGGTCTATCAACTTCCTTGACCCACAATTTATTAGGGTACAATAGATAATGATAACACCCTTCTCTGTACAAGTTGGCTGAGATATATCTTTGGAGATGCATAAATCAAGTAATCAGCAATGGTCCACCTTGTGTACACGTGTAGCCACATGTTGAGGCTACAGTGAGCCGTGATTGGCTTTTGTCCAAAACGTGTTTCTGGACAAAGCTGAGCTTTCTGACCAAACAGAGTAAAAGGCTCTGTCTGCTAAGTTACTAAGTTACTACCAAAAATATCTTCATGTACTTTGTGTTCTTAAAAAAAAAATTGGTCAAAGTTAAGGACGTTTTGAATAACTGGCTTATACTGACCAGAGCACAGAGCTCAAAAGACAAATATTGCCAGATGAACTGATTACCATGATGGGAATTATTTCTGATACACTGGAAAATAACTAAAGCATCTAGTAGTATCTTAAGAATAACTGCTTATTGTATTAAAAGCTCATTAGAACATTGAAAGGGTAATGGAGACTCCCTGATATCAAAAATATTTACCTGGTGAGATCTCGGTCACTGCATCTCCAGTCTGAGTGGTCGGTGTCTCCGAGCTACAAGACAAACAGAGACAAAAAGCAAAGCATTTAGCAAAAACGTGATTTATCTCCTCTAGCACTCAGCTGAGAGAAACATCATTTAACCAGTAGGACAGTGCCAGCTTCTTTAATACTTCTGTTTTTGTCCTCTTCTGTGATGGTGTGCTGTGAAGTCTAACTTTGTCTAGTAAACAAAGATTTGATGTGCTACAAAAGACATATAAAGCATGATAATGTGACTTCTAAAGGGGAACATCATCTGTTTTAAGGTTTCTATGTCCTTCTTGTTTCCCAGTTTAGTGAGAAGAACAATTTTAAAGTCTCGTATTTATGTCCAACATTTACCAAACCCTACAGGTCCACAAACCCTGGAGCCTCATTCATTGTCAATGTACACAAAACATCTGTGAATCCTTAAAATAGTTGGCATTCCCCTTTAAACTTATTAAACTGCAACAATTCCCATGCAGCTGGACTGAGGAATTTTTATTAACAAAAACCACACAACTGTAAAATAAATAAATAAACATGCAGCAAGCCAAAGAAAGCAGAGATGATAAACAAGCCACGCACGCGAGCACTTCCCTTTCTCTTCTCCAACCTCTAAAACTGGCCAGCGTCCTGCCAGAGTAGAAAGCAATAAAGCTCAGTTTTCTGTCTCTGGGATGGAGTCATTAAAGCTCTTCAAAATCTCTAGATTAGACTAAAGTTGACATTTTTTTTTATTTATTTTCTACTCTGATACATTTTGATCTTAGTGCTAATGCCAACGAACACTGTCAGATATATGCTGTAAACATAGACATAGTGTTAAATAATGAGTTAACCACTGTTCTTTCAACTGTCTGAACTATGTCATGCATTTATTTACCACACACAGCTCAGAAAGTCTGATGTTTGCCCCTCAGCTGGCTTCCAGAAAAGGGGGTAGGGTGGGATGGGGGTGTTAAAGAAACAGTTTAGAGTACAATGTCAGTCACATGTGTTTAATCTCTGTAATATTCTCGATATTTATATTTGTATATATATATTAGGACCTGATTTCACTTTGTAATATATACATTATTTAATTTAGTTCAGTCATTTACCCTCCTTATTGATTTGGAGCAATTTCCTTAGAAATTTATAGAGTATTCTGATTCTGAAGGGCTGCATAGAGATTCAGCAATTATAAATAATAAGTAATAAGTTCTGAAATCCCAGAGTCAGAATATAGAGCACTAAATTAGCAAAATAGGTCTCCTAATTCCACTGTCTGACTCCAGCCCAGCTCTGTGGTTGGTGTTCAGTGTCTGCAGGCCTACCTGCATGGAGTAGGGCTGATGGGCACACTGCAGCAGGTGATCAAACACAACATAGATGTAAATACACAACCACCACTTTTAGTTTTTGAACTAATCACTGCTGGTACAAAAAGTCTAACAAACCATTTACCTCAGTGTCAAGTCCTCAGAAATCTTATTGATTTAATACTGATTAAACTTAATTTAATACTGTTAGGCTATACATAGTGCATAAACTCATAATTTGCTTTGAACTAGCGTTGTACAATGTGTTGTATTGAAGTGAGATATTTTATTTTAAAGACCACAGACTTATTAAGTTAAAAATAATGTTCTAGGAAAGCAATAAACTAAGAATTACATGTATCCATCCATTCTCTTCCACTTATCCAATTCAGGGTGGCGCGGAGCTATCCCAGCTACCATAGGGTGAGGGGCAGGGTACACCCTGGACAGGTCGCCAGTCTGTCACTGGGCCAACACATAGAGACAGACAACCATTCTCACTCACATTCACACCTATGGGTAATTTAGATTCAACAATTAACCTAACCCCACTAACTGCATGTCTTTGGGCTGTGGGAGGAAGCCGGACTAATATGGAAGCAAATATGGGGAGAACATGCAAAGTCCACACAGAAAGACCCTAATGGTTGAATTATACTTAGGACTTTTTTGCTGTGAGGCAACCGTGCTAACCACTGTGTGACCGTGCTGCTGAATTACATGTAGACTGTTTATAATTAGCAGTATTATCAAAGTTGTTGATTAAGATTTTGTTGCTTGAAAGCTTTCAAAGTTCAAATCGTTAAATAGTCCTGTCTGACCTGACAACATTATTTACTGTTTTTTACTTTTCAAGATATCCATGGACATGACACGTCACTTAGTGATTTGTTAAATTTATATTTGTACAGTTTACACAATAACACATTTGACTGTCTAATTGCTGGTAACTTACATGTTCATTGCAGCAACCAGAGCAACTCTCTGAAATACAGAAAAACACATAATCAGCAAAGAATATCACCAAAATTTACAACTTCCCAAAGAAGCACGAATATGGTTTGCTTTAGCCTGTTAATTTTAATTTAACGTGGATGGGGAAGAATGGAAAACCACAGCAATCTTCTTTTTGTAAATGTATAATGATGAGAACAGTGGAGAATAAAACGTTTTGCACCAATACCACTATCTGAAAGCAGGGCTGCAACTTATAAATATTTTTATTATTGTTTAAGATATCAATTAATGGATCAATTATTAGCTTTAGTGGTGTTCTTACACTCCTGATGAGACTCCGATGCTCCTCTGATTGGCTGAAGAATCTGCCTATGTCCATGACACTGATGGAGCCATCCATGCAGCGGCTCACCCAGCCCTGGTACTCATCCCGCTCGGGCAGCCGATCCCAGAAGATCTTAAAGGCCTCCCAAACTGTCTCCTGACACACTAAAACACACAGAGACACCAATTACTGAAGATAATAAGATCCTGAAAGGTAAAATTTACTGTTGGGTCCACATTAAAAAACAAAAGTTGTCTGTAAGGCTGTCACTTGTCAGGTTTGTGGTCCTCACAAAGCTACATGACTATTTTAGACATAATCTTGCCCAAACAAGCAGCTTTTTGTCTGCCTCCATTTTTTTACTTCAACAACTAATAGCACCCCTGCAAGCTCTGACTGATAGGACTTTTAACCTATATCTGACGTAATGTAAATGTGAAAACTCAACAGGTAAATCATATCAACCCTCAAGTCTGAAGAGAAGAGGAATTATTATGTATTTACTGTGTTGATACTTGCAGAAGGGCTAGCTGCCTTTTATTTTTACTTATATGGACAGTGGATACATCTTTTCTTGAGTGAGTTAAAAATGCCTTTATAATAAGAATAAGTGAATGTTTTCCATAAGCTGCTGTGATATTTTCCCAGATTTCTTTACTTTTTTGGGGGATGAAAGGGAAATTATCACAGAGGAATCTGCAAAAAGACCCAAGGTGGTCAAAAACAATGGTAATCAAAAAAGAGACTAAAATTAGACTATAAATGTATATAAATATCTGTAATTCCATATGATTAGAGGCTTCTTTAGATAGTGCTCTGTTATTCAACCAAGTGGTGCTCCACTCAAGTGTTTTTGAGAGGGTACAACATTTCCATATTATAAATCCGGTCCACATCTAAAGCAAGTACATTTTAAAAACACCTTTGTCTTCAGGCCAAGATCCATCCACCAACAAAAAAGCCACGGTGCTGCTTCTATTTGTTGCTTTTTGTCACTTTGAACACATTTCTTAATGCTAATCTCCTGGGGCTACAGTGGACATATAGTAGTTGTAGTAAGTTACATAGTAATGTGAATGTGCTCAAAGAAATCAATGAATCTGAAGAGAAAGTGCAATGGAAAAGAAACGAGGCCTAAAAAGAGCTGGAGGGAAAGAAACATGATGGATGGTTGATGAGATGTAATTTCAACCACATCTGCACTTTGAGGGAAAAAACATAATTCATCTGAGCAGAGCTGAGGTGATTGATGAAACCCTGTAATAACGTCTGTTTCTTCAGCAATATCACATTGCTGTTGCTTTATACAAAGTTTGAACCAAGAATACCCCCCCAAAGGAAAAAAAAACTGAATGTGTGAATGTGTTTAAGGGGTTGTTAGTTATTGGTGTGGGATTAGTTTTTAGTTAGCATCATGCCAGCAGAAACCACGTCCAAGCATTGATGAAATCATAAGCATAACTAATTTTAATGTTATAATCATGCACATGACACAGGGACAGTATGTGATCAGAGAAATTTAAATCAAGGAACAAATTCCAGCAATGAAGGTCAGAAAATAGCATCAGTATAAACGAGGAAATACTTTTTTTTGTTTCTGGCATCAGAGAAAAGAAACACAGATGTTTCATTTGCTATTTAATTAAAAAGATTTTTTGTTCTGTACAAAATGTCATTTATGAGTCTGTTTACATGAATTCAATCAAATCAACAGTAAGATTATGAGGCATGTGAAAGAAATCCTTTCATGCCAAAAGCATTCAGTGCTTGTTTCTGAAACCTTCCCCGTTGTGTTTACTTTGGGCTTTTTTTCCCCCATTATTACTGATCATTGTATTATTTTAATATGTTCAGGTTATGAGACGGATGAATTACGAAGCTGTTGTATTTGTGGTTCTTTGTGTATTTGAGTGCATTGTGTTAAATCCTGTTGCATGACTCCTGCCAACATTTGCTGTAACAGCAATAAAGTTAATTTAGCTCATGTGTTGGTCCAGTTTGCTTTGGCTCATTTTGCTGCTATTTAAAAAAAAAATCTGAACTTTTTAATGATTGTTCTGTTTCTTTTGACCCAAATAGAGACTGGGACACACAGAGACATGTTTTCACTGTAATAAAGGTTTGAAGCTGATTGTTCACCTTGGAACCATGTGAGCTTTACTCAGTGGTTTCTTTAAGTGCTTATGTCTGTGTTGTTGTGTTAAGGTGTAAGCCATAGCTAGACTTAAATACAGAGAGATGTTTTTTGATTGATATAGAGGGATAAACTTGATTAAAGTAGAGATTTGACTCATGCTTTAAATCTGCTCAAAATCCCAGCAACTCAACACAATTGACAGAACTGAAACCAAAAGGCTGAACGAGCTGATCGGCTTGTTAAGAAACAGTGCATCTGGCGTTGCATGACCTCTGACCTCTGCCACAGAGGTGACAGCAGACTTGCTGCTCAAGCTTATGCTTTGATCAGAGCCTAAGTGAAAACGCTCTAGCTTTGAAGAGAAGATGAAGGGGAAAACCTTGTCGCCTGCAGGCACAAATATCAAAATTAAGGCAGGTGAATCGAAAGAAGTGCAGATGGGCGGAGAGATGTACCTCTGAGATGGAAGTAGCTGAGGTGGTTCGCAATAGCTTGGTCGAACGTCTCCTGAGAGCAAAGCTTGACTCCGCTGGGAAACAAGACGTCCCTCTTCCTTCGAGATAGAGCGCCGTGTCGTCTGTATAACAACTCATCAGAGGCTGCCATTGGCTCTCCTGTAGATTCTCCACTCTCCTCCAAACCAACCTCCAGCTCAAAGGTGGCATCTGTGGTTTAAATTAATATTAGTGCTGCTTTATACTTAATATTAAGGACAGCTAAAGTACATGGTACTGCTTTACAGGTACCTGACTGTTACCTTAAAGTTACTTCATATTTAAAAACAAATTATAGGTTCTGTCTGTTTTTGTCAGGTTTTTTATTTTTTATTTCTGTTAGGACCGGAACTAACAGTGCTTTAAATTATAATCACCTAATCAAAATATTTGCCAAATAGCCTTTGGTTGATTGACTAGTTGATAAATTAGTTGATTTTAAGGGAGCAGGTTTAAACTTTATTGAAGGTTATTGTTGCAGTTTGAGTTTGACCTCATTGTAACATAGTAAGTTACCACACTGAGTACCAGAGGTATAATTCTATTGTATATTCCTCCTTAAACTCTATCCCATCCTTCCCATTTTTAATGTGTCACTGGTCTTCCTTTGACGGCCCATTTGAGGGCCACACCTCCCCAGATTAGGAGCCGCTGATTAAAATGGCTCCAGCAGGAAAACACTACTGAAGATTCGATGTGTCAGGATCAATAATCGGACCAAAGTAAATAGAATTAGTGCTACTCCAAACTTTCACTTGACTGATGGTGCTGTTTTTCCCCTGTTATGCAATTCTTCAGCTCATACTAGAAAATTTTTATTAAAAGAATCAAAGCGTGTGATACATCGGTCATGACTTTTACTGTGATATTTTGCTGATGACGCTGTGCTTTTACTTTGTAAAGCAGCACTATCATTCAGAGCATTTTATCAATAAAAGGAAAGAAATAACTGTTAATAACATCAACATACAGACCTGTTTCCATGTACAAGCAGCATGAAAGCAGCATGGCCCCAAGCACCCACAGCACCAGCTTCCCACACTTTCCAACCATTTCTCAAAAAGAAAACCACCTCCCCGAAAGATCCACCCTGGACTCGCTGCTCCTTATTTCCACGTTCTCAGCTCATCAGCAACTTCCCGCTCATCCATCCACCAGTTCTCATGGCAGAAGAAACAGAAAAAGAGAAGACAAAAGAGATCCTAAAGTGTGTGCTGTCTGCAGGCCGCTTCCTCTCAGGTGAGCAGATGGGACTTTGCTGCTACTGCCGGAGATTTTTTTCCTCTTCGCTCTAATCCTATTTGTTAAGCTGCTGGAGTGGATGACTGTCAGAGCCACGTTGCGACGGGCCAGTCAGAAGGAAATCAAACAAACAGGCTGTGTCGGGCAAGGAGACAGTGCACAGGGTTAAAACTTAGTGGTAAAATATAGAGTTAAGCCCAAGAAAATGTGAGACGACAGGTTAAATCCAGACCTAGGTAACAACATTAACCACCACAACCATGCTGAGAGAAACAGAAAATAATCCTAACTAACAAATGACTGAAAAAAAAAAATTATGAAGCCCTGTCAGATAATCCCGTTTATTTTGTTTTTGTGCTCAAATGCTGCTCTTTAAAGTCCAAGATACATTATCATTAAAATAAATCTTCTACAAAAAAGGTAATTTCCTTAAAATAAAATGAAGTTCCACCAAAACAACTGACATTTGTGAAGGAAAAGTTCTTCTGTGGTGCAGCCAGAACGATGATGACCATAAATGATCCTTTCCTTTATTTTTCTAGGAGCAAATTCCATTTCCACTAAGACAAAGCCGCTGGCTGATTCCAGCTACAATCCAACTCAAATGCACCACAAGTCAGTCAAAATCAATGTACAATCCAGCAATAATCCAGCTAGATTGCATCAGAAATCAATAACCAGAATAGGTCCATAATCCAGTCTGAGACCAGTTTGAATTCAGATGGAATCCTACCAAAGTCTAGTCTGGTTCCATTTTTAGCTCAGTAATTGTTATGTTTAAAATATCTTGCATTTATTTTCTGGAGCTCCATACATTTCCTCTCCACTAAGAAAAAAAATTGCTGTCTGAATACATCTACACTCCAGCCTGGTGAAATACTAACACGACTGATTCTAATAATGACCCTAAATTAGTCTTCTATTTATAGTTATGGGATCAAGTCCATTAAGGCAATTTTGTATCTAGAATACATCATACAAGAATCCAGCGACTGAGCTGAGATTGAGTGGTTGCGTTGAGTGGCGTTTTATAGTCACATTTCTGATCCAATAGGACAAAGTTAGTGTCTGATTCCAGCCACAATCCTGCCAGATTACAATGAAAACTCAAAGAATGTAGCCATAATCCAGTCAATCCATCTGAATTGACTGGTTGTATAAGTGACCATGCATCCTGTACATATTTTCCTGGGGTTATGTCCACTGATTCATATTTTCCAGCAGAATCCAGTCAGAAATCAGCAACATTCCAGGTAGATTACAGCCAAAATCCAACCAGTACATGGTTTCAGTACAATCCATCTTAAATCCAGATGAAGTCAGTGGTGGCAGTGACAACCATAAATATGTCATGTTTATTTTTCCTTGAGTAACATTACAGTCTTCACAGTCATTTAAAAAAAAAGGGGTAAAAAAAAACAAAACACTTAAGTGACACTAAATATAAAATAAATTCTCAAAAGCTCCTGAGAGCATGAATAACCCAGTCAACCCATCTTTACTCAGATTACTTTGTTAGGTTTTGCATTTTTCAGATTATTAATAAGGTTTAAATGATTTATTAATTATATTTTTTATGATTTCAGCGGAATGTGCTAACACGCTAACAGATGTTAAAGATTAAGCTCACAATCGTTTTCAAAACCATTTTAATCAAAATCTTTCTGTATTTTAACATTTTTTGCATTCAATAACAAAAAACATACAAACAAACAAACTACAATACATGACAAAAATCAAACCATTTAATTTTGCATAACATGTCACATGTCCATATTAACATAATTTACATGAAATATACAAAAATTATATGTATTAATATCTTTACATGATCTACTTTATCATATCGATATTTTCTACAGACATAGTGAAGAAACCTAAAGAAACATGCAGGTTGAATGACAACAAACGGAGAAGGATTTATTCGAGCTATGACTTCCAGTTTTCCGTCTTCAGGGCTCACTTAGATTATTTTGGGAGGTCTCATAGGGGCCATAAATCTGTCTAATCTCAACCTCCATCGCTAAGATTAGCCGGTTCTATGGCCTAAAAAAAAAAAAAAAAAAGTCAGTCAGTCAATCAGTTCAGAGTCAAACCAGGACCAGAACCAGAGAAGAGACAGAACAGCCCCAATACATCCAGGACCAACGCCCGAACAAAAGAGGGTTGGACCAAGTCTAGATGTAAGAGATACCAGAGTTCATCCAAGCCTGGGACCAAAAAGGGACCAAACTGGGCTGAACTGATGTCAGACTAAGGCCAGACAACAAACACATTTAGGCCAGGAGAGTAGAGGCCGACATTTCTAAGGTGTCTTTAATGTTTTTAAATTTTAACAAGTTTATTTTGGTTAGAAAACTTTATTCTCTGACAGCCGTTATGTTGACATGCGGCGGCTCTATGGTGCATCCCACCTCAGTTAAAGTTTTTTTGGGCTCCATAGAGGTGAGTAATTAGCGGTCATTATGCTCATCCACTAATCTTGGCCTCTACTGTGGCGCTCCTGTCTTTAAATGTATAAGCCCTCCTTGAGGCCGGCGCCCCCTCCTGTCTGATCCACTTAATAAGCGGTAAGCCGATTGGTTCTCAGTGGGGGGGGCGCTCTGCTAAAACCACAGAGATTACCCAACTAGCCCACACAATCGAACGAACACAAAAGCAGACATAAACATGTTTTAACACAGACACAGAAATAAAAACATCGCATCATGTTCGAACAGGAGACGACTAAAACATGAAGAAATGGAGAAAAATAAATTAAAAAAGTAAATTAAAGAAGTCGGAATGCTAGAAAACACCAAGACACTCACTGGTAGTAACCCAGTGACCTCTGACCCCAGCTTAGACAAACACCAAGGACACACTCTCCTCACTTCACTTACAACTGATTACCAATTAATGCATCAATTACACGCTTCACTCTGCAGCACGCCAGCTCCAGGCTTTCAAAATAAGAGCCTCACATTGTAAAATTTAAATAAATACTTTTATTTAAAAACCAGGAAGTGTCAGTATAAATTTATGTACATTCACAGACATATAGTTTGACTGAGTGAAACAGGAAGCAGTCAATGATGAAGCAGCAGCAGCGGCGGTGACGAGTTAGCGGCTCGGCGACGGTTTTGGCTCCTCCTCCTTCAGCTGACTCTGGTGCAAACTCATGATTAGACTCCGGATCTCATCGCGCTTCTGTCGCGCTCGCTGCCGCGGAAACCAGCTCTCCAACCGCAGCGGGATGTCAAAGTGCACCACAGGGTTCTGGAGGAGCCAATCAGAGAGCTCGATTAAGCCTCAGACCATCAGGACATCAGACAAAGCGCACCGTGAAGACGATAACAGAGTGACGCGAAAAAAAAGCAAGTTTCTTTAAGTTTATAATTCTAATTAGGGCTGCACGATATTAGGAAAACCTGTGATGTGCGATAACTGTGATCAGTACTGCGATAACGATATGACTTGCGATAAAATAAATAGCAAAAAAAAAACAAAACAAAACCCGATACATAATTTCCATTTTACTGCAACAGTTTTATTTAATGAAAGCTGCTGTATTAGCAGTGTAACAACAAAGTGCACTTTAACATTGAAACATTGCCCCCATAAAAAAAATTTCTGAGGTTTGAATTCTGAAAGACATCCTGAAAGAATTTGTTTTAAATAAACATAACTTAAATTATACTGCAAATTATCTCAGTGCAGCTGTTCATCATTTTACCACTCACCAAGTAGTTATGATGTAAGTCAAAACTGGAGAGTAAACTTTACTGTAGTTCTTTACTGTAGCTCAGTTCAAACATGACGGTCTTGCGGCATGTTTCATACATTTGTGGAATGGCAACATGGGAAAAGTAGTTTCGTGAGGGGATGCGGTATCTCCGGTCCACTTTATGTATCAGACTGGTGAAGCCCTCTCTGCTAACTGTATGTATAGGCATCATGTCTTTGTCACAAAATTTGTAATGGCCTCTGTTATTTCTTTGTACCGCTTCGGCGTTTTCTCATAAGGAGTTCCACTTGAAAAACTCTGATACAGAGACAGTTGTTGGACTGCTGTGCTCTTTGTCTTAACATTAGCAACCTTTGTTTGGCTAGCCCTGTCTTTCTGGAACTATTCAAACAGTTCTCTGTGGTTGTATTGAAGATGATGGTGGAGATTCGTGGCAACCACCAGAGGATCAGACTAGTGTTCGGCAAGTTTTGCAGAGTACCTGTGTTTGGAGAACGTCGTCTTTATCAAATCCAAAGTACCTCCAAATAAGAGAGGTACTATTTCTTTCTTTTAGGCACGAGTTCATAGTCAGTAGCGTTCTCGTCATGCGTCTCGCTCTCAGCCTTTACAACTCTGACTCGTTGCTGCAGCGTTGTTCGCTCTCCACCTGCGTATGAAGCGGGGCTCTAATCCATTTGATTGGTTAATGCCGTTAAGGGCTCTGTTCGACTGGTCAAATGTGTAAAGGGGATTCTTTGATTGGTAATTTTTTTAAAGCACGTGTGTAAACATTTTAAGGTACCCAATTATCGCAGTTTACGCCGTCTTTTGCGATGGGCCCATCGCGCAGGCTGATATTGCGATGACAATAAATTTTCGATTTATTGTGCAGGCCTAATTCAAATATTATTTTTAGTCATAACGTCAGAAAAACGCACTTGAAATACGATTCAACACATTTACCCTCAAAAAACATAACAAATAAAAGGAACCTAATTAATATTTTCTTCACCAGCATCATTCTGTGATTTTACACATTTTTTTCACATATTTCAATAGAATTTTTACGGTGTGATAAATATTATTATGATACAATTTATTTTTTTAAAAAAATGCCAAAAATAAATAATTATTTGGAGACTTTGTTTCACATTTTTATAATTACAATTTATTGTTTTCTAGATAATTAAATACATTCTTGACATGCTTCACACAGTTTATTACTCTTTTGTTCTCTATATCTTTTGTTAATATTTTGTTAAAAATATTCAC